CCATCGAGGGGGCAGCGCTGCGGCCAGCACGCCGGGCGTCCCCGCCGCCGCGGCTCGGTCCCCGCCGGCAGCACGTGGAGCCGGCCCGGGGGGAGGGGGTTATTAATTTGTTTCTGTCAGGCATCCGCGGGAAGCGGCGCGCGGGGCTGCGATGAGGCTGAAGAGCCGGCGGGCTGTTCGTTGGCCGACTGGGGTGGGGGGGCGGAGGGGGAAGCCCTAAACGGGGATCTCTCTCTTTGTGGGGGGGCATTCTCCGAAAGAAATGAACAGCAGCTGCTTTCCCCTCTGGGGCTGGGAGCCCCCAGGCCGGGCTCTGGCTCTGGCTCTGGGGGCAGCCCAGGCCCGCGCGGGCTGAGCTGGGGGGGAGAAGCGATTGCTGGCGCTGGGGCAGGTGGGCGGATGGGGTTGGCCCTGCGCAGTGTGGACCCTGGGCGCTGATGCGTGGCTGCGGGGTCGGGGGTGGCGGCGGTGCCTCCTTCGAGGGGGGAGAAGTCCCCTGTTCCCTGCGCGGGGGCTGGAGCTGCAGCGTGGGGCAGGGGTGTGATGGAAGGGGCCCTGGAGGCGCCTGCGAATGCTGTGGCTCTGCGATCGCTCCTCAGGGCCAGGCTGCTGGAGGGCAACAAAGGGGGAGCAAAGCCCTCCACCCCTCTAACGCCAGCCCCCAAAGCCTGCTGCAGGTCTCTGAACCACACGGCCCGAGTGCCTGGAAACTCCCTCTCTCCCGCCTGTGCTGTGGGCCTGATTCTCATTTGCAGAAAGGGCCCTTTACATCACTGGGCCAAGGGGCTTTAAGGAGAGCCCGGCCCGCGACCGTGTGTGTGTCTAAATCTAGTGGTGAGAACCAGGTTGGTCACCCATCAACTGCAGACTCCTAGAAAAACAGGGTGGAAGGGCCCTCCGGAGATCGCCCGGCTGAGCCTTCGCTGCAGCTCCGGGGAATATCTGCCAGGACGTAGGGGGTGACCGTCTTACATCCTGGCAGGGACTTTCTACCAGCCAGCACCCTTGTGCAGTCCCTCAGTGATCGCTTCTGTCGTGGTGGCCCAGCGGGGCTCTCACTGGGGATCCGGGCCCCATTGTTGCTTTAGGGTCCCTGCGCCCCTATAGTTAACAGAGATCTGCACCTACAGGGAGACAATACCAGGCAGATAAAACTGATGAGGGGGGGAGGGCTGGGCAAACAGTGAAACAGTCCTGATTAGCTCAGTGCTCCCCTGCAAGTTAACTCAGCCCAGACCCAGCGGCTAGGGAAGAGGCATTGATTCGAGTGGAAAATTTCCTGGGAGTTTTCAGCCTGTTTCTCAGCTCCCACCCCCGCCTTCCTGGTCTGGCCGCCTCTGCTCCCTGTTCCCAGGTGCCTTGGTGTGTTTTCTTGTGATCTGGCCCCTGTTTCTCTCTCTGCTCCCTGTCAGGAGAACAAGGTGTGTCCCGTCCAGTCTGCGTCCCTCACCCTGCAGCTTGCTGCATTTTCTTGCATCTCCTCTCTGCGAGTAGAGGCATCCTTTGGGCCTCTTGGCCAACCCGCCAGCACCAGGGTATTTACCTGGACAGTGCTGACAGGCAGGATCTTGCCCAAAGTCCTGCAGCTCTTCCCCAGGTGCCCTAACACCTAGTGCAACATTTGCCTTTGATGAAAAAAAGATCAGGCCATGTCCCTGGAGAGCGTTTTGCAAAGAACTGGTGTTTGCCTTAAGAGAGGCCTTTGTACTTGGAGTGGGAGCCCGGGGGTCTGAAAGTCACCCGCCCTTTCTTTTGGCTACAGGCTGCCCCCGTCTCTGCTCTCACTCCTTGGACTTCAAGGGGCTGGTTTGGGTCCCAGTAAGGTGCAGAAATTGTGTTTTCTCCTTGGCTCAGAAAATAGCGGTTGACCCAGTCACCCACTTTGTCCTGTGCTCAGATATCCCTGCAAGGTCCTATCCCAGCCCTGTGGAAGATCCACGGGTCGACCCTGACGTTGGTTGACCTGTACTTAAATTACCTGTTGCCTTCTCTTGTGTTTGTCTCCTAGTTTGTCCTCAAACTGGGTCTGGCAACTGCTTATCATCCAAACATGGTAGGGGATATCATCCAAAATAGCCCCCCTTTTTTTTTTCCTTTCAAAAAAACCCCTAACGAAAGGGAGACAGAGCAGACACGTGGGGAGGATTTTAAAAGGGATTTAGGTTCCTCAATGGCATTGATTTCCAGAGGAGTTTTTGATCCCATTTGGGCTTTGATTCCTGAGGAGCCCTGTACAAAAATCCACGTCTCCCTTGAAGGTGAAGTGAGAAATGCCGAGCTGAATCTCTGGTGATGTCGGTGCAGAGTTCCAGCGCGCTATGCAAAATGCCTGTCTGAAATAAAAGGGGGAGCGATGAATGCGAACACAGCACACCTAGGAGCTTTTAATCCTTTGTGTGTGCAGAGAGATCCAGATTAGATAGATCTTCTGTGCAGAGAGCCTGTTTTCTAATCCACGGGTATAAATTCTTGGCATATTTCTCGGAGGATGTTGTTGCGTTTTATTTACCTGTTTTCAAGGCTGGGGAAGAGGCTGAGAGGGCTAGGGAATCCTTGGAAAGAAACTTCTTGTGCAACCAAAGAGACAACTTTGCTATCAACAGAGAAGTCCCACTCAGAAGAGTAGGAGGTGTGTGAGAAATGCCTCTTTTGGAGCATATATCACAGCTGTTGTTTGTCCAGTTACCTTTACCGTGGAAAAACACTTCACTGATTTCAACAGGAAGGAACACGGGATCACGATCGGGTTTTATAATACTATGGAAATGCCCTTTTTTCTCTCTTTCACCCAATCTCCCTCCCATCAGCTCACGTACTCACATGAATACTGACGGTCCAGATTAGACTTGGACAAATATTGCATTTTTCTGGTCGGTGGCAGCTCCAAAAATGTTTTTTGGGGAAAAAAAAGACAATCATTTCTGGGTAGAAACAGAGCAGAATTTTTTTTAGGCTATTTAGGTGAAACAAAAACTGTGAACGATTTCATTTTGTGTCCAGCCAGAATGCTTCAGTTAACCTGAAAAAAAACGCTTGTTTTGTTTGTGGATTCAAGTAACTTGGTTCAGTACCTTTTTTCCCCCCCTTGAAAGTCGTTTTGTTCAATGGGAATTGCCATTTTCTAAGGAAACGTTGAACCGTATTCAGTTTAAAAGTGTTGACAATGCTTCCAAGATGAAGCATTTTGTTATGAAAATGTCCAAAATGAAAGCTGGTGACCTCTTAATGTTTCCTCTATTTGGGATTGTAAATATTTGCCAAATTTGATGTGAATTTGCAAACTGTTTTTATTCCCTTTCTTGAATTTCTTCTTTTTTTTTTTTGTGTTGAATGTACCATTCTTTGGAAATATTTTGCCGTTTCTCACTGCAGATTTAACCCTGATGCTCTCTATCCTGGCTCTAGTTAACCCCTTCCTAATAGAAAACTCCATTAAGGAAATAAGGACAGCAAGGACTGTGTTTTTAGAGCACTGGCCTGTCACACTGGAGATCTCAGCTCTATTCCCAGTTCTGCCATTGCTCTTCTGCATGGTACTTCCTGGTCCCTCTGTTTCCTCTGTATAAAATGGGGATATTAATGCCTACTGCCTTATCGGAGATCTCTGGGTGGAAAATTGAGGTGAAGTTGTGAGCAGTTTTTGCCTTCTTCATCCCCATCCCTAAGTCATGAAAGCCGTGAAACTTCAGAGCTGTCCCTGCCCTTTACAGTAGATAATGAATGCTCTCCGCGTTTCTGTCCAGAGAGCCCTCGTCTTAAGGTGATGAGGACTTTCATATTGAAAGCATCTGGCCGTATGTGGGGTGAAATGATTGCTTTTGCCGGAGGAAGGCAGAAGGCAAGTCTTGTGAGACAGGCTCTCAGTTTCCAGCCACAACCGGGCAGCTCAAGAATAAGGGCTGTAACTACAGCAATTCACAGCATTTCTGGATCTCAGTGTACCGGGAGGCCCCTTGAAGAATGGGAATAATTGGTTTTATTATTCTGGCCTTGCAGCCGGCACAGACTGTTGTTAGTTCACCTTGGTCAGGGGGCGAGAGGCCTGGCTCTCTCCTCCACTTCAAAGGGACCCCGAACCAAGAATAACTTGGGGACCACCAGTGCGGACAGATTCCGGCTCCGAGGAGCCTCTCAGGGTTCAGCTTCCCCACAGCTGGGAGTTGTAGCCCTAGCACGGGGGCCAGGGGGAACTGTGCTGATTATTGGTGGGGTAAAATGGATTAGACGAGTTTTGTTCTGTGAATGAGTGCTTTTTTCTCGGCTCTGCTTTATTCAAACTGGGCTATCTTAGCTTCGTACCAAGGAGCTTTGCTCTGTAGATCGTTCCCCTCTCGGCTCCCCCCCCCGAACATTACAAAGAGGGTGTCCAAAATTTAAGAGCTGATTGTGGTTAGTGTGGACTGCAGGCAGGTCATGTGGCATTGTTTGTCTTCGCTGATTGGACAAGCACTAGCGTTAGAATCGGGACCCGGCAGTGTTTGTGTTCAAAACTTCGAACAGGCTGTAATATTCGCATAGGTCCATAAATACGCTGGTAAGCTCATTCGCTAGGGTGTAAAAGGGAAGCATTGTGGACATAGTAGGAGCCAGTTAATGATCTTCATTCAAGCAGCTATTCCTGTGAAATAGGATTTCACTTGAGATGCAAAGGTGATAAGAACAGTAGAAAGGCCCATGCAGGGGAAGGAGAGGAGGCTGGAAAAAGAATAGCCGTTGCTCAAGAACGGCCTCCTTTACTCACATGAGTAGTCCCACTGATCTCATTGGCTCCCCCTGCAAATAAGACGCCTCTAAAATGATTTGTGTTTGGAACAGGGCAGCTCTGTTTGCTGTAAAATGAATGCAAGGCTCCCCAGACCGTCTGTCTGGTTGGGGAACTCTGCACAACCCCTGATCCAGCACTGTTCGCTACGATTAAGGGGCCGATTCTGCAGCATGCAAGGAACGATTCACGTGTGCGCTCCCTTTGAAGTCCGAGTTACTCGGACGCTTACGTCTTTGCGGGGTTGAGGACGTGGCATGAAACGGTACAAGCAGCGTGATCTGAAAAATCCACTGAGCCGAGGTGATCGTTAGCATTCAGTGCAGTGACAAATGACCAGGGTGCCATGTTCGTGCCACTTCTTATGACTGCTTTTCTGCGGTCGCTCTCACCTCTTCTGCATTTCAGGATCTTCCCTTCTCCGCTTTGTTGAAATAGACTTGGACCGTCACGTTGAAATTACTTTCATTTGACGTGGTTTATAAACCCCTCTTAGAGTTGTCTGTACCAAACCCATTATCCTAGGTTGTTGTATGTGGGCACAGAAGCTTGGTCAGGAGTGCTTGGCCAAAGGGGCATGACACGTCCCGGAGACAGAGGATGTCTTTTTGTTGTTGTCTGTATAGTGCAATTGGATCTTGAGCTGTGACCAGTCAGATTCTGCATCAAACTGAAATAATCTATGTTCTGTGTACAAACGCAGGCACGTGTAACACACAATGCAAGGAGAGGTGCCCTAGAAGGGAGTCAGTATGGAGGAGAGGGCTTCTTTAAAGTGCTCTCATTGAAAAAGTCACCAATATAATTAGGCAGCATTTATTAAAGGCTCTGAAATTCAGGAAGGTGTCCAGTTTGGAATCTGCTGGATCTAATGAGGTCATCATTCCAGGCACTGTGTACCCCAAATCTGATTAAACCTGGAAGAAATCTTCAGTGCTTTGAGAATGCAGGATAGGGGACAACGGTGTTTTTGGTATAACCACATGACTGTCATTTTTTTTCTCGTTTTGCTGCGTTGCTTTCACTTTAATTCTGAGCAGTTTTGTTTTTCAAACTGCATTCAAGAGAGAAAGTAAGAAATCGATATTTTGTTTTGTTTTGTTTTCCTTTGACAAGTGGAAGGATCCAGAATAACAAATGAATTGAAGAAGTCGTTGGATGGTTATTCCAAATGCGGCATTAGAATATCTCATTATTTTCGAGCAGCGCTGTGACCAAGTTTGTGTTCCAAGTGGATTTTTCAACATACAAGTGTTTTCTTTAGATTTGGGGTCCTTGCCTGTGCAAAAAAAAAAAAAAAAAGCAACAAAATCCAGGTCATTTAACTACATTTCATAATAACCAGCCTCTGCATCTCTGTGCGCAGTGGATTTAAAAGTTTTTACCCTGTATTTTATTTGGTATTTAGAACAGTATGAGTCCCCCAAAGGGTGGGGGGTGTTAACATATTGTGTGTCTCCTAGTTGTGGTTCAAAAATGCAATGCAGTTAGGTCCTGATTTTGCAAATATTCATACCTGTGTGAACCCAAGCCCTGAAATATTGCAAGATTCAAAATAAATAATAAATGTGCATTTCTTTCTCCCCCCTCTCCACTTCTCCTGGTTTCTGAGTCATTAGAGTACAGTCATTTTGTGTTTTGCAGCTTTTCTCTGCTATCCTGTGGGTTAGAAATATAGTTTGGGGTTTTTTGGTGCTTAGATGAAAGCTGAGATCCTCATCTCATTGAGAAGAGGTGAGAATTTTGAAGCGAAAATCCAGCAAATATTGTTGGTAGAATCGTGACAGGTGACTGCACTGCCTTTTCCATTGGGACTAGTCCTATTGATCCACAGTCAAACTACTGAGAGCAGGTCGGGTTTAAATCTTTCCAGGATCCAGGGATCCACCAGTAACTACAACGCAGCACTACCAGCCAACTCCACACTCCGAACACCGTCATAATTTCTTTCCCTCCGGATTGCCCCCATTCTGTTTTTAAATGCCTGGGAGAAAAAGATGAGCACTCCGGCATGCTCTGAAGGTCACCAGGGGCTGGGTATTTTCGGACCAAAGTCCCAATGCCCACCCTGACTCTGAGCAAACTTTCACCAGCTTTCTCCTCTTGGTTTGCCACAGCTCAGGCTTATTAACCCTTTGGGCTGTCTTCAGAAGGAAGCAGTCTGGAGGAGAGAGGTGTCATTAAGGGGAGTTGGAGTTTCTGATTCAGTGGGCAAGTTTCACGATTAACGAGCAGGCAATTCTGTTCATGGACGTACAGCCGCGAGCGCCCGGGGACTGTTGCTAGATTTAATTTGTCAGGCACGGCTGGTGCTTGGTAGGTGCTGAACAGATCTCAGTAGAGATCAAGCCGATAAGTTCTGGGTCTTGGCAGTAGTGGTCGGGTCAAAGTTCTTTGCTTTACACTTCAGAGGATCTGGGGTTATTTTTGGATGTAACTCAGTAGTAACATGGCAAAACACAAGCCGGGTAAAATGAAATGTGTCTGACCGAGAGGTTTTTATTCCCGTTGCCCTTACCGCTATAACACCTGTATTGGAATTCCTCATGCACACAAGACATCAAAGGGAGAAGTTAGCATGAGCAGGAACAGTAATGATAATTACCATATCTGTTTAGCCTTTCATTCGGGGGTGCAACTTTACAGATAGTAAGCCTCACAGTATATCGGTGAGGTGGGTAAGTTTATTGTTCCTAGTTCACAGATGAGTCAACTGAGGTATAGAGGGAGGTCAAGCGAGCTGTCTCCAGATTATACAATGGGGTCCAGAGTTCCTGTCTGCCCATTCTCTGCTTTCACCACTGGGCAGCCTTCCCAAATTCACTTTGCAACCAGCAGCGGTTAACTCCCACTGGAAGTCAGGTGTGACGGGAAGGCTCAAGCTTTTGGATCAGACACCAGTGGGTCCGAGTCAGTTCACCTGGGAACTTTGGCTTTGAAAGATTTAAACCCAACCTGCTCTCAGTAGTTTGACTGCAGATCAATAGGACTAGTCCCAAGGGAAAAGGCAGTGCAGTCACCTGTCACGATTCTACCAACCATATTTGCTGGATTTTCTCTTTAAAAGCCACTTGGGAACTTTGGCTTTGCTTTCAAAAAGAGCAGGATGGGACCCCAAACTGCTCCTTCCAGCGTTTCTTTCTCCATGCTAGTCTTGTGCAGCTTCTTTAAGGAAGCTTGCCTGTAGCCCATAAGGCTGCAAACAGATGTCACGTTTATCCCAAGATAAAACATTTTACCCCAGGATAAAGTGCAGCCATACAGACATCTGTTTCTGTTGTCCTGGGATAAATCGTAAAAAAAAAGTTTCCCCAATAAGAAATAGTAAAAGTTTATCCCAGGATATTGCAAAGTGTGTCTGTAGAGTTACCACAGGATTGTGTCACTGAGTCAATGGCAAAAAAGTAGCAGTGCATTCAGCCGCTCGCTAAACCACGATTAGAAGGGCAATGTGCATACGCACCCAGCCGGAGATATTTTTGTACTGGCACAATTTATCCTGGGACAAATACAATGTCTGTTCCTAGCCTAAGACTGCTCTCCTTGGTGCCTGCTAGGAAGTCCTCTTGTGCGGTTTTGTGCCCATCAGTAGTGGATGCTGGGTTCGCCTGAGGTCAAAAATCACAGTGGTACCGTTGCATTAGGAATAGTTCATCAGCCTGAGGCTCTACCTCTAGAATTGCTGATCCTGAGCCCTTTCCACAGGTGACATTAACCCTTTTCTCTCCTATTTAGCGAAGACCCCTGGCGAGCTGCAAAAATGATCAAGGGTTACATGCAGCAGCACAACATCCCCCAGAGGGAGGTGGTGGATGTCACCGGCTTGAACCAGTCTCACCTCTCCCAGCACCTCAACAAGGGCACCCCCATGAAAACGCAAAAGCGGGCGGCGCTCTACACGTGGTACGTCCGCAAGCAGAGAGAGATCCTCAGACGTAAGTACCCTGTTTTAACTGCTCTGACTTTTCCAGGCTTTGTTGCAAGGCAGAGGGGCCTCTTAAGGTGCAGATCTGCTCATCAAAGTGACTGCACCGGCCAGCTTGGTGTATTTATCAAGGCCTCCATTCACTAAAGCAAGCGTTTGGCTTTAAGCACATCAGACCGTGTGCATGGGTAAGCACATGCTTTGTGGAGTAGGACTGGACTTCAGCACTTACTGGTAGCACTGTGGCTCCATGCGAAAGTATTTTGCAAATCATTCTTGATTTGTAGCTTCTCCCTAAGCCATTGATTGGGAGCATTTGAAATTCCGGCTGCTTGAACTGGACACGTTAATCCCATCCCCTGATCATGGATGGGTTGGATATAGCTCTTGCATTCAGGTTTCAGGAGGCAAATATTCATGCCCTGTGCCCCTGTTTTTAAAGGGTGCATAACAAGGTGCCTGTCTAGATCCATATGAGTAGTCAGATCTCCTCTGCAAAGTGAGGTATGTGCTTAACTATTTTTTGCTGGATTTGAGCCTCTGGGTAATTTTGTTTAATACTTGAAAGTTGCTGAGTTTCTGGCTGTCCCCATCAATGGCTTTATTAGCAGTGGTGCAGAGTTGTGTGAAATGGTCTCTAAAACTGGGAGGTGAACAAAACAGAGGGAGTCCAATCTGTTTTTCATGTGAATATTTGAGGGGGAAAATATTTTGCACAGTATTTTCACTAGCATCCTTAAAATGCTTGCTGTACTGGTTGGAATAAAGAAGCAATATTTTAGGGGCAAATCCTAGTTTTAATAGAGTTATGAATTAAAGAAAAAAGTGTTAAAACTCCCCTGTTTTAAAATTAGCTTGCAGCCTCTGCTAATGGATGAGAATCAGAAAGGTTCATTGCTACAGGACAGAACAACAGATCACAAGTTAGTGCCGATTTTTAGGACGAGACTTGCATTATATGGGTAGGTTATGCCCTTTGAACTTATCTTCTGCCTATTTAAGTGAGACCTGAGTGATGCAGAGATCAATATATTCCACCTGTAGAAAATAATATAATAAAACAATCCCCATCAAAGAAAAACGAAAACAGCTCCCCCCCCACAAAAAAAAAATTGCAAGAGAACTTGGCTTCTTTGAGTAGTGTCTGACTCAGGCCAGCAATAATATACAGGCAAGGGGTTGATTAGTGAAAATAAGATCTTGAGGATGTGATCTTGCTCCTACTGAAATCACTGGGGAGGGCAGGGGGGTTTATTGGGATCAGCCCTAAAAAGGAAAGGTGCACTACTTGATTAAGTAAGTGCTCAGTAAGCTGAGGCACATGAATTAGCTCATATTTGACCAAAGGAGATGGATTGGTGATGAGCTGAAATTCAGAAGGAAATGATTTCTGTGTGAGAAGCTTCCCAACAGCAACTTCTGCTGCATTAGCCTGTCAAACAGTCTCCAAGGGACCCTTTCCTTGGGACAGCAGACTATCCTCCCTGCCAAGGACAGGACAATGGACTGCCTGACCTAGTCTTTGACTCTTCCAGTTTCGCTGTCCAAACAAATTGCACAAGTGGTGGACAGTTAATTAGAACTGTCACATTCTTGCTTGAATGATCTAAGTTAATAACAGTAGAAGTAGGGACTCTGATGCCTGCTCTGGGACCCTTTCTATTAATTTTTTTAAATTGGATTTTTAACTTGGCAGCGTCCTTTTTAAAAAAAACCCTGCAAAATCCCTAGGTCCCACTTTAGGTAACGAAAAATGCAGACCAGTTTTGGAGTCTTCATAGTTTCTTTTTCACCTGCTTGGATCTCAGTGTGTAGCCTGAGCCGTTGAGCCGGGTGATACGGAAGGAGGCCGTATAGGAAGCTCCTCATGAAACAACTCTTATTACTACCAGGAATCCCACTGACTTCAGTAGGGCTGTTCATGTGCAGGGAGATGGGCAGGACTAGACTTTAATGAGTGTCTGAGAAAAATTGTTCCAACCTTGGCCTGCAGAAAGATGCAGCCTCCCGTTTGCTCGGGAAAGATGGGAAGCCCAGACAGTTTTTAGAATGCAGTGTCAGTGCTTTGGAAAGACACCTGGAGACTTTAGAAAGAAAAAAATCCCATGGCTGCTCCAAGCTTGCCCTGCACTTTTTGCTTCCCTTGTTGTCACAAGGGAAAAAGCCATTATAGAAAGAGGGAGAATTTTCCAGCAACACTGAGAATAATAAAACCTGCCATCAACCTCCCTTTACGGCTTTGCTGACATGTCCCAGCTCTGCGGCGGGCAGGTGAGGAAGGTCACCCCTTCTCTGGGTGCACTTGCTGCGCTGCCATGGCTCAGGGTGTGAGGTTTGGAAGCCAAAATCCTGCTGCATACATGAGTTGCTTTCGGCCCCATTATTTCTGTAGGAGTGTGTTTGTTTCCAATTAATTTGAAATGGAGCTGGAGTGAAGGAGGGCCCTTCTAGAGGAACAAAGAGAGGCAGGATTCAGGGGATTGTTTGAAGTTTGACTGCCTGACTCTTAATGCATTATTCTAAGTTCACCAAATCCTCCCTGAACAAGTACATGCAGGCACGGGAACCCAGGCCATGAATATGTATGCCCTATATAGGCCTTCCCATGAAAGGAGCTGCTGCACAGCTCAGTGAGCCCTGTACACATCAATAACAACTTGAGAACATGCATCTGTGGCTGTATCTTGGAGAAGGCTGGCAGCAGTCGCCCGAAGGGGAGGGGAAGCTGCCATGTTGGGGACAGCTCAACCCATGTCCCAATAGAGTGCCAACTTTGACTGAAGCTATTCTGGGAGATTTTTTTTTCCCTAACATATATTAGTTTATTGTCTTAAAATATCCTATTAAAATCTCCCGGATCGCTTTCAATAGTCACCGGGAAATCAATGCCGATTCCAATAGACTCCTGGCCAAGCTGGGAGGGTTGGCAACCCTATGTCCCGAGCAGACCAAAACCTTATCTGAGCCACCAGAACTCCCCACCCCTCTTGGTCCTCAGGGCTGTGCTCCCCAGGTCGTGCCTGGAGCAGACTGAGCACGAACCTGGGTCCATTAAAATATGTTTTGCAAATATAAAAGATCTGGATGAAAAATCATCCCACTGGCACTGAGTTGCAGGGCGGACTGCCTCAGACTCAGCCACTGCCAGTGTATTTTTGATCTAAAATTTTAAAAAGGGGGGTGCAGATGATGAGGGGTGTCATCCCACATAACACGACGCACATTTTTCTCCAGTGAAAAATAAACTAGAAACTTTACTAATACACTGGGGACCTAGGGCTGCCTTATTCAGTTTAAGATGGAAGCAAAAACAAATATAACTTCATACGAAGGAGCTAAAAACAACCTGCAGGGCTGCAAAAGAAGAGCTCCATGACGAGGAGCAGCTAGCAGACAGCGGAATTGCAGAAGAAAGGCTAGCCTGATTGGTGGACCATCAAGACCCATTAAAAAGGAGGGAGGGTCATTAACGCTTGTGAAGAATTTAGAAGGGATCAGGTAGCTGACAGTGAGCCATGAAGTCGCACTGCCTGACTAGAAATGCTGCTGCCCCAGCTACGCAGTTGGTTTTAAACTTTGGGTGGAGCAGGAATCAAAGCGGGTTGTAAGTGCACCCACCTGGATGCATCCCCAGTGGTTTTTGTGCAGAGCCCAGCTCAGATCAGGGCCTGCATTGCTCCAGCACAGTGCCCGCTGCACATGCGCTGCCTGCCAAGTCGGGTATCTGCCTGCCTGCGGCTCCTCCCACAAGCTCGCACGTGGCGCTGCACTAACAGCTCCACTCTTCGTGGTTTGGAGGTGTGTCATGTCTCAGGAGGAACCCCTTGGCTTCCCGTTGAGTCAATGTGAATATTCCCCTAGCAAGGGATGCCTCCTGCCCCATGGTATCACTGTCTGGAGATCAGGAAGAGGCAGGGTAGAGCTGCAGCGCAGCTGAGGGACCTGAGGCACAGGGAGAGGAAGGAGGACACCCACGGGGTCCCCTTCTCAAGTGGCAGTCTGCTCATCTGGGGATGGCCCATTGCTGGTCATTTATTCATGCTCATGCTTTGGGCAGAAACAGGGGCACAAGTAGGTGAGGAGACCTGTGCCTCTCAGGAACACGTCTCACCATGCATGCCCCTCACCTTCCCCACACAAAGGGGCCTGCAAAGTGCACCGGCAGCTCTTGACAAATAGCTGAGGACACGTCCTGGGCTGGGTTACATCTGTGTCAGGCTGCCAGCTTGGCTTGGCATGGACGCTGCCGAGAGCCAGGTGGGATTGATCCAGAGAGCAAAGGGCCACTTCAGCTGGTTTCCAAATCATTAACATGCCAACAGCCAGGCGCTTTTCCCATGGGAGAAGCGACATGAAAAGGTCTTGGGAGCTACACGGAGCTATGTCCCAGGGCTGGTGGTGTGCTCATTCTTCATGACTTTCACTGCTAGGAAGTGGACAGGTTTGGGAAGGGCTGGAGGAAAGGGCTCCCCACTCTCAGCTGGCCAGGATCCAGGCTGCATTTGAAACAATAGCCTTTTTTTTTCTCCCCCTGGCAGCAATCACGCTGAGGCTCTATAGCAGAGATCAGAGGCCTGGACTGATGTGATTACCCAGCCCCAGTCTCCCATATCTGAGGATAATGCTATTGACCTTGTTCCTGATGGCAGTGGGGCTTGGGTGGGGTCAGCATGGCTGATACGTCCTGTACTTGGTCTGTCACCACTGAGCACGTCTGTCCTAGCAGACACGGCAGGGCTAGGAGCAGAAGTCACTGGGTTGATATTCAAGGGTCAGAGTTTAAAAGCCATGCTGGCTTGTTTTCGCGAAGCAGCTGGGAGCCCCGGCCCTGCAGCAGAACCCCACGGTGGGTCTTGCAAAACAGTGCCAGCCCCAGAGAGCTGGCAGTCGGGGAAAGACAAGGCAGCAGGCGGGCGCAGAGACAGACAGACAAGCATGAGGAAGCAATGTGACGATATGCATGTGATTGAAGGTTCCTTTCTGAGTGGCAGTGGCTATAGGCCCGATCAAATCTTGCTCCTTTCTCTTTCAGAGTTCAACCAGACAGTCCAGGGTTCTGGAAATATGACAGACAAAAGCAGTCAGGATCAGCTGCTGTTTCTCTTTCCAGAGTTCAATCAGCAGAGCCAGGGCGTGGGGCAGCTTGACGACGCCTGCTCTGAAACCCCCAGCAAGAAGATGCGGCGGAATCGCTTCAAATGGGGGCCTGCCTCGCAACAAATCTTGTACCAGGCCTACGACCGCCAAAAGAACCCGAGCAAGGAGGAAAGGGAGGCGCTGGTGGAGGAATGCAATAGGTAAACCGGGCGCTGGCTTGGCTCCGGGCTGCATCCCCCACCCATTGTCTCCCGACTGAGTTGAGAGCCTTTGTTTAAAACAAACAAATGAGCCAACCCAGCCGCGGCTCTATTGTCCTAGGCTGTAGGAGAGGGAGCTTGCCAGGACCTGCTGATAAATGGTGGTGATCCTGGAGATGCTGTCCCATCCCTTCCTCACCGTCCTGCTGCTTCTGCACTCTTGGCTTCCACCTCGGAGGCGGAAATGAGTTGCAAAGCTTTCAGGGTTTGGTTTCCCTAGTGTTTCAGAGAGGTGGTTCTGAAATCAAGCGGAAGGTGGCACCATGTAGACTAGCCTTCTGCCTAGTGTTTCGTTGTCGGAGGGGACGAGTGCGTTCTGTTGACTGAGGCTCTGATCTGGAAGATGGTCCCGGCATGTGCATCGTTGACCCTGACTCTGCTGAAGCTGCTGTGTGTCCTCACGTGTTAGGAGTTGAGCGTGCACTTGCAGGTCCCATCCAGCAAAGCCTGTAATGGTCTACATCCCAGCTTGTCCAGAGCCCAGCAGCACCTCTGTGCACAGCTGGACTTGGTGCCTCTCTCTTACTCTTGATTAGTGAGGAGTTGGCTAGGTTTGGGCAGCGCCCCCATCCTAGATGTCAGCTCAGATCTACCCCCAAAGCCACACCAAGCCCTTCTTGGGGTTCTTGAATGCATTTGAATGCATAATTTTATATGCATCTTTGGACTGGCACCACAACTACAAGGCACAGGTTGAGGAAGCCTGGATCAATGGTTATAGTATTAGTTTGGGACTTGGATTCATGTCCCTGCTCTGCTACAAACTTCCCTTATGACCTCTGGCAAGTTGCTTGCCCGCTTTGTACCTCAGGTCTCCATCTATCAGATGGAATAATAGTGCTTTCCCCTCCAGGAGTGGGGCTTGTGAGGATAAATACATTGAGGCCTGTGAAGTGTTGAGAAACTGCTGGGCAGGCCATTTCCATATCTGTGTTAGATGAGGTGTGTAGGTCACCTCCACGGAAGAGAGGTTGAGCTGGCTGCTCTGCAACCAATGCATTGTGGGGCCATAACCATGTTACCTTTTCCTTTCTGCCTCAGTTTCCCCTTGGGTGAAATGGGGCTGTTCCAATCTTACCTCGCTCATGGGGTGGCATGGAGCCAGACTGACTGGCACCTAGACATGTGCTTTGGCAGTGCTGGGCCGGGGTGATGGTGTTTGGGCACAGCACCCTGTTCCAAAGTGTCGTCCTCTTCCCCGCAGGGCAGAGTGCCTCCAGCGTGGGGTGTCCCCTTCCAAAGCGCACGGGCTGGGTTCCAACCTGGTGACCGAGGTTCGTGTCTACAACTGGTTTGCGAACCGGCGGAAAGAGGAGGCCTTCCGTCAGAAGCTGGCCATGGACGCCTACAGCACGGGCCAGCCACACAGTATGAACCTCCTGCTCTCCCACAGCTCGCCCCACCACACCCAGCCCAGCTCCTCGCCGCCCAGCAAAATGTCAGGTAAGCCAGCCCCTTTCCAACCCAGCCCGAACAGACTGTGGGCATGAAGCAGCTCTGCCCTAGGCAGCTTGTCCCTTCTCCCCGCTGCTTGGGTTTTCCCTTTGATTTAATCTAGATGACCACTTGCTGTAGCTTAGACCCGCAGCCTCCCGTCCTGTCCTCTGTGGTACAAGCGAACAATGTTTCTTCAGCTTCATTACTGCAGTCTTTGAGTTATTGAAAACGGTTGTCTTGTGTGTGCATGTGTGTCCATAATCTCCTTGTCTCCAGACTCGCAGCCTCGTGGTTAGGGGATTGGGATAGTTCTGGGGTGGCTCAGTGCCACCAACTGCTTGGTGACTCAGGCTGGCCACTGAATCTTTCTGGACTTCAGTTCTCCATCTGTACCATGGGGAACAACTGGACTTTCTTATTCTCAGTCTGGACTTCTGCTACTCTCATCCCTTTAGCTTGTCAGCTCTGTGGAGCAGGCTCTGCCCCTCATAAAATGTGTGGGAATCTCCCTGATCTCATGTGCAGCTTGTGGGTGCTGTTGTAATGCAAACACGAAGGTGGCAGATAAGAGCAAGGTCTGACTCTTGAGTATTGATTTATCCGATAGAGCACGCTGGATTTCAACAGGGGCAGGGCTTCCCTTTGCTTCTGGCCAGTTTGATTAAGCAGATCCCACGCAGCGGCTGCAGTAGAAAGAGAAATGGGCAAGGCAGAGACCTTTTATCTTGTGGAGCTGCCAGGGGTTCTTCTGTGGAATCAGGAAAAACCCAGAAAATCAATGGACCGACAGTGGTAGGAGTGGGGAATTGAGTCCGTTGTGTTACCTTGAAACATAGCTCCTGAGGCTGCGGGCCTGGGATGAGCAATCTGCAGGCCGAGCCCCATGCCTAGATAGGATGGAGGCTCTAGGCTTTGCTGCATGGGCGCTCGTTTGTGAAGTCTGTGTCATGGCAAGAGGACGGAGAGTGAAGTAGGGGTGAGGGTTTCCTGTGAGCAGGTTTTGGCCCCCAGCCCACACAGCAGCAATGTCTGTGGAGCGTGCCTGGCACTGACTCGGGCTGCCACGCATGTGGGAGCGAGTGCAGCTTGCACGCTGATGGAGGGGAAAAGCCATGGAGGAGGGTGGCAGATACAGCAGTGGGCATGGCTGTGTGCTAGGCAGAGGGGAGAGCATTTGAGCCCAACTCCGCCTTGTTGGCCAGGCTGCCATTGCTAGAACACCTTGGCTTTTCAGGACTGAGCTGGGTGTGCGTCGGAAACCAGGGACACATGGGGTTAACCCCCAAGGTACTTTCTTCACCTGAGGAGGGCAAAACATTGCCAGATGCATAGCTCTGCCCTTAAAGGACAGTGCAAGCGACAGCCTGGGCTGAGTTCGTACCACCCCCTGCTGCGGCGGCATTTCTTCAGGCCGAGAGCGGGAGATGTGGAAGAAAGGAGCGCATGGACTCCTACTTTGGGTCCCAGCAGAAAAAAGAACTGTGCATCTCTACCCCCAGCCCAGAAAGAGAGAGGGTGTTTAGGGTGCTGTGCTCTGAGCTGACGGGTCTAAGGGACTGGTTGGTTGGTTGGTTGGTTGTCGTCACTCATGGGCCCATTGCACCATTAAAGACAGGTGTCAGTGCCCACATGCCCCTCTTTCCAATAAGCCAGGGGAACGTTATTCAGGAAACAGAGCTCCTTTCTCCAAGGGATGCTCTGGACTGGAGGAGGAAGGCACTGGGACAGCAATCTCTCAGCTCTTTCCCCTTTAGGAATTGCATGCGTTCCTGGGCCTGCAGTCCATATTAATGAGAGACTGGCAGAGAAAGGGAAGGACCCACATGGCCTAAACCAAACGAGCAGATCCCAACGGGGCTTCAACTGCAGGGCAGGGCAGTGGAGAGGAGGGAGAGAGGACTGGAAAAGACCCAGCTCCTAAGAGAGTGGAAGCTAATCAGAGAGGGCCTGGGCTTGAGCAGTGGTGTGGGGTATTGTCGGGAAAACAATCCCCATTGTCATTGTACCTGTAATCTGCACACCAAAGTCAGCAAGCTCCAGCGGCACACAAAAGAGGGCAGTTTTTTGACAAGCCCCAGGGTCGCAGGAGGGTCACTGTGGGGTCACCAGCTCTCATGGCTGGGCTGGCTTGATGGGTTACAGAGCAATGCAGTGGCCTCTTCTCCTTTCCTTTTTTTTTTTATTGGAAGGGAGACAATCAGATCAGGGATGGGGTGGGGAGGGGGATGAAGCCAACCTGTGTCTTGAAAAGCCCTCTCTGTACAGAGCCACCAGAGTCGCGGTTTCTCGTTGACATGCATGTCCTGGCCTTGGAGAGTTTCCAGTCTGAGGTTCGGATGAAAGGGGCAGTTGGTGGGGGCAAAGATCAAAGGAAGGGGCTGTTTGTCTGAGTTCTCATGCTGCCGGTAGTAAAATTAGTCCCTGGCTTCCAGGCCCTTACAGACCGCTTCAGCTGGATGAGGAACTGTCTCTGTAGCTAGGGAATGAGCTGAGGGGCCATATATATCCCCAAGATGCTACTCTAGCTCCATCATTGAAATTCCAGCTGTGGCTAGTGAAAGCATGAAGACCAGAGGTGGCACCGGGCACGAGCTTGCACTGAAAGTCCTTCTCTCCCCACAGCTGAGAGGCTGCAGACCATAACATGATGCTGCTCCATGCCAGCCTCCCATGGCTTTTCCATCCATCCCTCCTGCAAAGCCTCCAGCTGACTGGGAGCTGCTGGTACATTCAAAGCTGTGGATGCTGCAGCTATCCATCAAGTGTGAAGCCCTGCTACATTATCGCCCAGAGCTGCCAAGACTAGTAGCTCTAGTCATGGCTCTGGGTGTTGGTATTAGCAGAGCGGAAGGAATCCTGTAGTGCCAGACTTGTATGCCTCTGTGAGGATACTGTAGTTGAGCAGCTGGATTTTACACAGAGGCCTCACAGAATGAACAAGGGGACTAGAGTTGGAGAGAGATGGAAAGGGAAGTATCAGAGAAGGGAAGTTTGAAGCTGCTGTATCCAGCCCACTCCTGAGAGGCTTAAACCCACACAGTTCCTGTTTGCATCTCTCTCTATTCAGCACTGAATCAACTGAAGTAGTGCTTTGATAGATATTATTTACTGAGCTGGACTCATCGGCCAGGTCACTTTGTCACCTGTCCTAACAAATGGGCCGGATACTTGTGAGTGCTTCCCATCCAAGGATCTTGGTGTGCTTTTCAGATAGGAATGAATTTGATTCCTTTCTGAAACAGGCCTCCATTTGTGGCCAGAGCTAAATGTTTAATTTGATGCATTTATCATTTTGATGTATCTTCCCCTGCAAGCCCAGTTGGAGCTCTAGGTGCAGATAGGCGTCTCAGAGCGGGCGATGTGTACAAATGATCTGCCTCTTCTAAAATCAGACCCTTCTTAAGGTGGGCTCTACAGCCATGCAAGATGGCATGCAACCAAACTGTGCTCTGGGGTAAATCCACCAAAGCTAAAAGAGTCGGTTTGGATTTGCATCAGCGCAATGAGAGAAGAGTTTGGGCTGTGCACTTTAGAACATAAGTGTAGTTGGGGTCTAGGCAGCATAAAAGCTATGTGGGTCCTGGATGTATGGCAGTGATGTGCTTGTGAAAGCAGGCTTGCTGGGGACAAGGGCTATTGGCCATCCCTACAGAAGTCGTGGAGTTCAGCAGGAGCATATCCATTCCACATACAGCAAGTACATGATGACCAAAATGTGACCCTAACCCTGGAATGTCCCACACAATGGGGATGACAGGCAAGAAGTTTGCCCTTCTGTCATAGGCTGATTGCTTACAAGGTGCCCTACAAGCATATTGTCAGCAAAATCAGCTGTTTTCAGTGTTCTCCTCCTGGCTTTACAATAATGCACCAGCATGCAGCCCCGCGTTGTCATGGCATTGTCCTCCTTATGCATGCTTAATTGACAATTAAGCTGGGGCTTTGAACGAGCCTTGCTGCCTTTGATGTGTCCTCATCCTTCCAGCCTGCATTGGGTCACCCCATGACATCCTTTGTTTTCTTCTATTAGGGGGACTGCAATTACTGTAACATGTTCATTTATCTTGAGGCTGGAAGGCTGTTAAGGCTGGGCCTTTATTTTCCTAGCACTAGACTTAGTCAGCAGGAGCTGTCCCTGGGTATAGGCCCCAGTGACAGCCTATTCTCAGGCTTCTTTTCAGCTGGCCAGGAGTGATGGCTGTCTCTGATATGGCTCCTCAATTGGAGAAAGACCCCTCTGCAAAGGTCATGAGGGCTGGGTGGCGGGAACCAGTTGAATTTGCTGGAGACTGGTGCTCACATTGATTAGATTCTTAAAGGAGGTGGAAACGGGCACTGGATATGAATAAGGCCAGCTGCGGGTCGCGGGCACAGGCTTTCTGGCACTGCTGAAGGACCTTGCTGTCTGCAAAAGCCACCCAGTCTCTCCAGAGAGCAAGATTCTTGACATACTTTCATACCCGCTCCCGGGAACAGGGTAGGGATGAGATATGCGGCGTATGATATCGAGATGGGAGTGCCAGGTGCCTGGCATAGGGAGTGAAAGTCTGACTTGGTGGGGGAGAATTAGGAATGGTCTTGATCACCAGGAGAATAATTTCCTCTTGCAAAGACCCCCCGAGGAGGCTCAGCTGGGGAGGGGGGGCCATCTCGTAACACCCAGGCCTGTGCTTGTGGGGCTTTGACTAGTGCTGGTGATTGACCGGAGGCTGGCAGGCTCTGGAGGCAGACCCTGGACAGGGAGAAGGTTTGAGGTTGGGCCAAGGCAAGGCTCAGGCCTGTGTTCACCAGCTTCCTACCTTCCTGGGATGTTCCTGTGAGATTTTGGCTGTGGGAGAAACCTTGCAGACTGCTTATCTACCAACTCAGATCACACCATATCCAGACAACAGGTCCCTTTCCACCAGTGAGCCACCATCGCTGGCCTAATCTTACGGGCAGCCTCAGATCCAGGGTCTCAAGCCTCACAATCTGTTTTCCCCTCCCATTCTTTCCTGAAATGTGCA